TGAATGGTTAAAGAGCTTAAACTAAAGCAAATTGTCTGAAATTTGTACAGTAATTAAAAACCTAGCAAATGTTCCATCTATCAACTCGAAATATGATTAAAGCTTTTAAATTTCGTGCGCAAGCCATTTTTAGTTTGTCGGAAAAAACACCCCCCCCCCTGTTTTACAAAATTTGAGTTTGAGAAATTTTGCCATTTTTCTACATTATAAGTACCTAAAGAAGCTATATACATCAAAAACTGGATACTAATAGCTGTTTTGCGAATTTAAGAGCAATTTCAAATCTGTGCAGTTTTTTTTTATACACCCTGTATATAGGAAACATAGAATTTATACATTACAATTAATTAAGTGGATGAAAGCAAATAGCTCATAGATAAAGAAATACTAGTTCGTGCATGTACCTAATTTTTAGCCGCTTATTACTCTGTTGCAAGAACAAAATTGAAGAATAGATATACTATTGTCAGTGCTGGTAGTGCAAATAATAACAAAACGTCGGTTGATAGGGATGCAAGTATCACCAATATATACCTATAATTCCTAATAAAAAAACAGTTGTGAAGCTCTAACCAGAAGCTCGTGGATAAATACTAATGTGATAAAAAAGTACGGCATGAAATTGCATTTTTTGCTAATGCTCCTCGCTGGGTCTACTGAATATATAAAAATCCACTTGAAATTTCCATTTGCAAATCCATTCAACTAAGAGTCATTATAACAAGTGAGATGCCTAAAATCCTGCTGTTTAAAAAACACAGCTTACATTGGGATACATTTTGCATTTATACATGAACTTGTGGTTCGAGGTTGACAACTGTAACTCCGTAACTCAGTCCGTTATAGCGCTGGACCGGCATCGTTGGGTCGCAGGTTTGATTCCAGCTAAAAGGCAGATCACTGAAATTTTCGATATTGGTCTAGATTTGGTCTAATAATTATACCAGGTTTCTAGTTCTTCCGACAGATACAATAATTACTAATTCTGTGCATACCTATGCAAGAAAATCCATCACCACTGTATCCAGAGTTACATATGCATGTATAAGATCCTTCTGTGTTGTTACATGTTGCACTGGCGTTGCATGTTGTGTTAGAGACGCATTCATTCACGTCTAAATGAAATTTAAATGAAGATTTCAACTAGCCGTACGAGTTATTAATAGGTGGAAATCACAAGTGGAATTCTTATACTAATACCTAACCAATCTCGTTCCCCGAGCCTGCGATCCTTGGGAAGGAAACGAAGGCTCTGGGATAATCCATGTCAGAAATGAATATGATTGGTTGCTGGTATACAATGGAATGTTGCAATTTCGCAAAAATTAATTTTTAACCGTATATTTTTATATACAACATGGCGGCCGTTTAGGAGTGTACGAATATTGTTTTGGTTTTTCAGAGCTGTGCTATATACTAAATACTACAAAGAAAATGCAAAGAAACGTATACTTAATGCGTATAATACATAGAAATAATAGATATCTATTATTTCTATGGTATAATATCACAACAGTTAAATGGAGCGTGAAAACTTTACTCATATTTGTGTTGTACAGGTTTTCTGTAGTTTTAATCTTTACATAATATACAGTACTGTCAGTACACTGTACTATTTGACTATAATATCAAATATGTGCTATATTTTGCAAATACTATTTGTGTCAGAAATGGTTAATAACTTTTATTAATTTGTCTTTGTGTTATTTAATTGCGAAGAACTAGCTAATGACTAGTTTCAATAAATCCAATCTTGGGATTTTAATACTGTTATATATTTTATTATTTAATGTATATACTGTACTGTAAACTTTTCAAGTGCAGGAGTATGTAATACTCATTTTAACTTGTAGCATGTAACCCTTCCCTATATCGGTGCATATGAATCTTTTGCTGTTATAATTTATTTATAGAAGAGTTCAAAAAAACTTTATTCTCTAAATAAACCACAATTTCACAGGCAGTGATATTAACTTGTATTCCAGTCTGCACACACCTAATACATATAATGAATTCTTGGGTTTCACTATTATATGGCATTTTGCACGTTCTGACGGGGGGTCAACCTAAAATGTATTGATGCTTATGCTGTACTGGAGTGAGCAAATTATATGAAATTGCATGTATTTGCCACCAAACACAATGCCAACACATACAGTGAAAAATTAATTCACTCTGATGACTGTGTCTTGATTTAGAGTTGACCCCACATCAAATTTATGACGTCATATGAAACACAATATACAGTATAATATTACAGCTAATTGTAGCAGAAAGTATTTAATGATTTTAATTTATTGAGTAGTACAATATGCCAAATTGGCAATCCCTTCATTAATCTTGTCCACACAGTAATTCAAAGAAGCCCTGCCCCCTGTACGAGGTTGTATTAATTGGATTCTGTCCAAGAAAACGTCATAAACCTTTTGATCCAAATGTTACAAAGTATGAATTCCAGATTGGGAGACCATATAAATATTTTTAATAAATTCATATAATTTTTTTAAGAAATGTTCTATTCACAAAAATATTAAATGATAGTGATCAACCACCAATACCAGAATTCATTTTCATCAGCTTCCCCCTGGTTATGACCCCCTGCAGGGAACCACCTAGGGTGCAGGTATAATTTTGTGATGAATGATAAAAAATTGCCCAATATAAATGCCGAGCCATAGAAATATTTTTATTACCATGGTCATGACAACTACCCTGTCTGTCAGTTTGATTGCAATATCAAAACTTGTTATTTACACTATAAAACAACACATACCTACTCTGAGAAGGGGCAACAAAAACTCATATATTTTTTTATATATATACTCACATATGTTTTTTCCCTTCCTATCCAATTCAAATCATGCTGGCCACGAAAACAATTTCCCAATTGTGATACAATAAATTGCCAAATGCCTGACAATTTGGGCTAGCGACGCCCCTGAATGCTACAATGATAGCAACCTCTATTGCTATTATATCTCCAACCTTGAATGTCCTATTTAGTACAGTAGTTAATTAATTAATGGCAGTAATCAACATGAAGTCAAGTACATTTCCGGCCATTGATAAGAAATATTGTCCAGAAGCAGGGATGGACTTACTGGCGGGTGTGGTGCTATTTTTCATGATAAAGCAAAAAAGACAAAATGAGATACAGTAATTTGAGTAATAACATGATGATAAGTGAACTGTGAACAACACTTACAATTCAAATACAGTAGTTGATGGGCGGGCGGCACACATGACCGACACAACTCGGCAATCGGCACCAGAGCACTCCCCCCTACCAGATCATGCTGGATCCATCCCTGTCCAGAAGTACAGTGAAATAACAAAATAGGGTGCACTAATGATCGGGTGGCTTAATGATCTAATGAGATAATTAACCAAAGATAGGTAGACATGCAGATGGACTGGTTAACCCATTCAAATACCAAGTCCAATACTTTCCCCTTGACGAGAAAAAATTCTGGCGTTAAACAGCTTAAAATAACAAGGTAGGGCAAACTGAGGCACATTGCAGCTTAACTTGCTCCAACTATCATTACAAACTGTAAATCTTTAATAGTAATTCCTATCCAGACACAAAATTTGGTTATAATTCAATAATTTGAAAAGTGCTGTTGCATCCCTAACCTACGAAACTGCTGGCAAATATTAAAACATATAAGGAAAGCTATAAGGGCAGTTAAAAAATATAACAAGAATTTGGTTTATAAACTGTTAATTTCTAGAGATGATAACACAATATAAACATGGAATTCACTATATTCATATTTTTAATGATATGTTTTATAAGTCTAAATTCCTTTTATTATTCCTCTGATATACAAATCTTCTGAAAACTTTAATATTATCAAGGTTTATAACCGACTTAATATTAGAATTGAGACTCTTTTCAGGTATTTTAATACTACAGTAGCAATTATTAACACACAGTACATTTTAATTGTTTTTGTTCTTAAATTGCCCTTTCCACGCGCTCTTTCAACCATTAGAAACATTAAACGGCTAAATTATGCTGGAGGAACCACAAATGTCTCTACATTTAAAGCTTTTTGAAACTGACACAGAGGTGAATGGACAAGATTACAATTAATTGTGACATTTTTCTTCGACAACAACACTCTTCGCGGCTCCTGCCGGCTCTATACTGACCCTGTTTCACACGCAATATTTTCCTTATTCAGTCGCTAACACACCTTTTGTATCCCACTATGAAGAACATCAACATTTCCACCAAAACCCCGAAAAAATAATCATTTTATAGACGAAACAATAAAATATTTCAAACAATTTATTTTGCTTTTGCCAACGCATGCGCAGTTCGGTCGACATACAGTTTTCTGTAGGCCGGTCTGATTCGGATTATCCCAGAGCCATCGTTTCCTTCCCAAGGATCGCAGGCTCGGGGAACGAGATTGCAATATGGCGGAATAAACCTTGAAAGGGCCTATTGTCCTAAAAGTTCAAGAATATAAAAGTCAATCTCTAAAAGAGCACATAGCTTTAACTGAATTTATATGCGTTCTCAATGCATAATACACCTCTGAAACAGAGAAGAAAACTCGTGCTGCATGTCATCTGAAACGTGTAGTTTAAAAAATAAGATCTACAAATTGTGCCGTCATGACAAGAAATATTACTGAAAGATGAAGGGTTTTTAATTTAATGGAATATTTCAAATCCGACTATGAGGACTGGATTACTAGATTTCAAATCCGCGCAATTTGATCAAGTTCGATCGAGGCAAAGCCGAAGACTGGGTCAAAATGCGAGGACTTGAACTTATCTAATTCATGCAGTCCGAATTGGCAGATTTGAAATGACATCTCATACGGCCGAATACATCACCACTTAAAGAGAGGTGAATTAATTTTGATCGAGTCCAAGTACTGAATTAATTTTGATTCAGTCCTAGGACTGGATCAATATACTTCACCAGGTATCCAGTATTATCATATAAGCAAAATAAAGCAATATGGTTAGCTAATTTACTCATGAATTATTAATGAGTTTGCGATCGTGTTTTAGTTGACTTTAACTATGAACTAACCAACTGATGGCTCTCCTTCTGCACACCCGTTCTGTACTGGAACTATAGGAGCACTTGAAACTGTGAGAACGTGACCGCTGAGAAGAATTACTCCAAGGAAAATATTTTCCATTTTTGGAAATCAAGGTTGTTCTAAATAAAGTTCAAAATCATATAATTAAATTCCCAAACTAATATTGTATATATGAAAATACATAGGAAAACCCTTCAAAAACCATGTCGCGGGAACCTGGTCAACCAGGAATTAGGGGTTTTACACTGGTTCTGCTAATAGATTCTAGTGTATACCTTTTTTCGCAATCTTGGCACAATGGCCTCGTGTTCATGCGCCTATTTCCTCATGTTGTTTTGCGATTGGGATTAAAATCAAAGAAAAATACATTCGTGCACGAAACATGGTGATATAACCTTCATGTGCGCCTATGCGCTAAAACAGGCAAACACGGAAAATATGCAAATAACAAATATGCAATAAAGAGTAAAGTCTATGTTGGCTTTCCTTTGCTGAAATTCAGTCTTTCTCAATAGTAAACAACAAAGTGATTTCAGTCCACTTATACGAATGTAGAAAAGTGTGTACATATTAAAAGTAGTACGAGAAAATACAGTGAAAATCCGATCCAATTAATTACTGGTTTCCAAGGCTGGTACTGTGCTTTGACTAAAATGTTTGGAATAATGATTTTTGAACCAGCACATAAATAAAAAGCGTGAGTGCAAAATATAAAGCGTGAGTGCAAAATATAGTTATGGATAATATTAATTTCCTGTGGAATATAAATAACAAGATGCCTGCTCAGGCGTTCACACTGTCCTCCGCAGACTCCAAAGCTTTTTTAAAAGCTTTAAAAAGATTATGCAATGGTTCCTTTTGCTAGAATGTACGTTTTGTGAACACAATACGAAGTGAATGTCAAGTAAATTAGTAAAGCGGATGTGGCTGCTTGAAAACAATGTAAACAGGCACTTGCAACTTGTGGGCTAATTGGGTTTATTTGCTGGAGCGCATTTCTCCGTATTTCCGGGGGATTTGAAAATTCAATCATCTTGAAAATGAAGGATGTTTTATTAATGCATTTGTAAGCGGAATAGTGCAGTATAATAGTTTATATCAGGAAGGTAAAAATATCAAGATTTTGTTGGCATCAATATTATAGTTGAAGGGTATTGTAGATGGAAATTTTCGAGTGGAAATTTATATACATTTAATTGTTTTTGTTTGTGGAAACACCACGTAAATTTATTACTGCAAATAAAAAAAATAAAAAAAATAAAATAATTGTTCACTTCTGTTCCTGGTTATAGATCTAATGAATGTACTAGTGTGGATACGTAGATGTGGTACAGTCCGGTCTGCGAATGTCCACATATAGGAGTCTCCTGCCGTGATATAAACAATTTAATTAGGTTTTTATTTCATTTTATGTTCTTGCAAAGCCTGATCGTAGAAGCATGAAAATATAAATAGTTGTCGAATAAAGTTCAATATTTTGAACACCGAAATGTAAACAAAGGCTTTGTTCATACATACGAACTGTATACCCTGCCTTTAAATTCAGCATTGTTGAACAATATATTCATGCAATAGTAATGTTTAACTAATTCCCTCAAATTCATTTTGATTGGAGCTAAATGAATGTGCTTCTACCAGCGCTCAGTGCCGAGCTTACAATTAGTATGAAGAATGATAGGCTTTTGTAATATAAATACATACGATATTGATAATGACTTGCTTAATTAACAGCATAAGCTCCACCTTTGAATTTACTATATGAGCAAATTCTTAAACACGTCCGAATTTATCATTATGACAAATTCGCGGCACATTTTGAATTTATCATAATAACAAATTCGCGGCACCTAACACTAACCCTAACCCCAACCCTAACTTTTTTAACTTTTTTAAAAACCCCACCCGTGCGCGACCAGCCTCCCATTTAGTGCCATTACATTGATAGCAAGAAGTCTTGTCTAATGTTTGTGGTTTTATTATAATGATAAATTCGGACGTGTTTAAGAATTTATTCATATAGTAAATTCAAAGGTGGAGATCATGTTGTTAATTAAATTAGTGCTACTGTGGTGAAATTTTTATTTCGGTGTTTTTTTTCCTGTTATTGCATAGAATACGTATAAAGAAGTTTTCTCGCAAACGTTTAGTGCGATATCCCAAATCCTGACGCAGTTATATACGAGGATAGAGATCAATTTTCACAGCCGCCACAAAAACAGGATGTGTGGACGGCTAATTGTTTGTTTGGTGGGACGCACTTCTTTGGACTTCCGGAAAATTTGAAAACGTATCTAGAACATGAAGGCATATATTTATTTCGTATTTTCGTACTGGTATAATGATTGCGATTTCTGTGTCCTTGTTTGCTTATTTGCTTACCTTTGTAAATATTCTGGAATGCTACAATCTTGGTCAAAAGCTTGTAGAACGACTGAACGTTTCACATTTGCACTAGTTTTCCCCTAAATTTATTTTTGGTACATTTCATTTAAAGTATATGATCATGCAGTATAATTTATAAACTATCTATCAGTATATTGTCTTATAATGTACGGGATATTTAAGTATGTCTCCAATTTGGGTATTTGGAAGCTAATTAACAACATTTTGCGCACTGGAACGAAATAAAATAAAAGAAAGCTCTTTTCTATTTGCGTTTAGCAAATATAATTAGTAAATCTTACAAGACAGCACGAAAAACCAATGTTATGAACATGCCGAAGATTTGGATAAAAATTACTTTCTTCGAAGGATATTATGTACAGTATATATAATCCTTCAACTACAGTTAATTATATACAAGTGATTCATTTTTCGTTGTTGAAGAATGCAACAAAATGAAAACAAGATTTTTTTATTATATAAACAACAGCACAGATGAATAGGACTTTAATCAACGTAGAAAGAGTGTTGACAAGTAATTTCACCGTTAAAATATACTATGGCTAATAAATATAATCCATTAAAATTTGCATTGTCAATCTTAATGAATCGAGTATATATATTACAGGCGGCGTTTGGCCTTTATTCTTTAAGGATAGAGAAATGTTTCCTGAGAAATTCTAATTAATATAAAGTATTTATTCTCATGGTAGATTTCACGTGAGTGAATCATTTCAGTTTAATTCATAGTCTCACTATATTTCAGACAAGCGTTCTCCTCGTGCTAGAGGTGAAATAAAGTAATGGCACATACGTTTGGCATTTCGCTTTAAATGCGTCCTTTAACTTTCGAGCTTTTCATACGCGGACCTATATTCAATCCGAAATTTTAAAAAATTTAAAAAGTCGTCATTCATCCTTAAAGGTAGTCAGACGTAGGCTACAAACATTCAGAAAATCTAAATTATTAAAATCTTCCGACCAGTAACAATATATTGTAATCATCACGCACTATTTAAAAGTGTAAAACAGGTCAGAATTACTGAGTAAGATACAGGAACTTAGCTCTGTTCAAATGCTGTGTATGCCAAATATTGAAAATTGCAGCAATTGCACGTCACGCATTTTTAGCTCTACTAATCAACAATAATAAAATGAAGCTAGGACCTATATTAACCACCATAACCAATATACGGCAGTAGCCTGCCATAAACCAAAATTATTATAAAGTTGTTGCGTTAAAAATAACTAAATTAAAAATAACATGCATCACCTAACACTGCAAATAAAAACATGAAGCTCGACAATGTTCTTTGTTCTTATAACATTATCAATTATTTGTTATACCCAGTATCCATGAGTAAATATCAGACAATTGTATTCTTGACTACAAAATACTCCTGATAGAAGTCATTCAGTTCTCACCTAAGAAGTTGCTGTCTTTATTTGAACCAAAGCCAAAAGTGTCACTTGATATATAAGTCTTACTTTTACCACTGAAATTGAATGCTATAATGACAAACCTTTGCGGACTAACTCCTATTTCGCGGCATGTCAAATTTGCAAGCCAATATCCATGCACTTTCTTAAGGATATGTTTACCGCAAACTTAAGTGGCTCACAACAGTTGCTTTCATCGGCTGGTAAATTATTGCGGTTTTCTACTCCGAATTTGGTGCCATAATATATAACGCAGTATATATGGCACTGTTAAATAAGTGGCGGATGAGTTAGGTTTTTGTCGAGGGTCGAGTGTCGAGGGTCCAATGTCGAGGGTGAGGGTAAAAAGTCGAGGGTGAGGGTAAAATGTCGAGGGTCATAAAAAAAGTCGAGGGTCGAAATTTGCGGGTAAAATAACTTGTTTAATGTTGTGACATGGACTTATCATATATATGTATGCAGAACTACATTAACTTTTAAAAGATACTACTTTGCGTAAATTTTCTAAGCGATTATATATTTTCTAAGCCCCTTCACGCTCGCAAGTTAACATGTTTAATATGTCTAATATGAGAACGGTCTCTTTGCTTTCTTATCAAATTAACGTAACAGCATAGATTATCGGGCAGCTGTAATCCTCAAGCCAGTAATGGCAATACATTAAGGCAAAATATATACCAATGGCAAGTTATGATAAAAAAAACAACTTGTGTGGTTTTCTGCGGATCGGAGCGCGGTTAGCGCGGTGCAGACATGCCACTGTTTCAACTAGAAACCAATTAACGCTAAATGATTCAGTCAATATTACTCGTCTCACAGCCAAACATTGGCATTGACCAACCTCGCAAGCACACCTGCGGCGGGACGGAGACCTTTGCTTGATGCGAGGTTGAACATTGCCATTGGCCTGTTTATGAAATTGCATCTACTACGTTTAGAAACTCTTTTAAGACTTTTAGTTAATATTGATAATAAATGCTCTTTGACTTTGCTTTTATCTAAAAATGCCTTAATCAAAAGTGGCCTGGAGACATTACACGCTAGAAGACATGCTTACGTGCGTGAAACCTTTTACTGAACCAGACGACCCAAATCATCAACTTAATGAGTTAGTTTCTAGACCAGAATTCTCCGGCTTAATTCATGATTTACATAAGGAGAAACACCGTTTTAAAAACTCTTTTATCGTTACTAGTTGTCTTAGTTGTCGTAAAAATACAACCCTCAACTTTTTTATGACCCTCGACTTTTTACCCTCACCTTCGACTTTTTACCCTCACCCTCGACTTTTTACCCTCACCCTCGACTTTTTACCCTTACCCTCTACTTTTTACCCTCACCCTCTACTTTTTACCCTCACCCTCGACATTGGACCCTCGACACTCGACCCTCGACAAAAACCTAATGTATTGTATACGTGTGAGTAGAATGATGCCGAAAGGGCAAGTTAATCACAGATTCACAGGGGCGTAGAAAGCTTATTAAACTTAGAGGGGCAATTTTGAAACTTTTGAGTTTAACCATAGTCTAACTGATAGCATTCTCAGAGTCTTCTATTCCTCTTTCGCTCCTTCATCAGTTCTTTCATAATTACCGAATGATTTGTGAGTGATTATTATTTGCGAGCCTACGCTGTCCGTGAGTCAGTGTATTTTTATTTTTAAAAGTCAATTAATTTTGACCCGACAACTACTCTAGTTCCCTTAATAAAATATTGGGCGCCCACCAACTATCACATTATCATGATGTTTTTGTTTAACATCGATAGTGTTATGCGATATTTTGTTTACTCTCAGTTTCAGCTATTTTTATAGTGACAGCATGTGAATGAGTGAGATTGTCAATCTTCAATGAACAAACACAATGAAAACAATACATGTGTTGTTAAATATGAGTATCCTGTAGCACATTCAGACTTAATTTGCACTGAAAAGCCAAAAACATTCCATAGATTAAGCCATGAATAAACAGGGGCATTTGACCCATAGTGCTACGCATATAGATTATATATATTTAAAATTAAAAGCACGTGTTCACAATTGATATAGCAGTCATACGGTGCGGGTGCGGACGTAAGGTGACGAGACTGACTTGTTGCTTCAAGCCTTCAAGTATGCGTCTCCTGTGAACAAAGCTTGTTTGAAATGTCTTAATTATCCTTCATAGTGTTTGGTAAAGTGGCTCAGTCGTATAGACATTTAGGCCACTGTGTAAGCAGGTTTAATTATCAGCTTTTTTATACTTGTGACATTTTGCCATAATGAACTAATCTTGGTCTGTGAAGAAGGTCAGTGGACTGCATTATTTTTTGTTGTATGTCAGTAGCCATGATTATAATGGCCAATACTGCAAATACTTCCGCTATGACTTACATTTCCTGCCTACCCGCCGCATGATGCGGAACTGACTTTTTATTCACTTTATTCAGTGAAAGACAAAGTTAGCGGATTGCAACCTTTCGGCTTTATACCGTGGGAAACTCTGTTGAATTAGCATAATTGAAACGTTTTTAAACACTATGTAATGTATATAGCCATGCAATTAATAAGGAAAGTTTGATCCATCCATGCATACCATTTCCAGGGATCTGTTTTTCTGAAAGCACGATTATCGCCGACAATAGGTTAAAATTTAATTTCAAAACTTTAGAAAACAAAACTGCCATTGAGCCGGACAAGGTTTCCGGAAGATCTCAATTTAATACCAATATATATATATATATATATATAGATCATAAAGAAGTCGTTTGTATAAGCGTTTTTGCGGTTTGCAATCATAACGGTAATGTCAACAATCGGGTAATTTCTACGTATAAGACAGAGGAGACTAGATAGGTTGTTTAATGTTTTCCGTTCATTTTGATGGCTTGTAACCACGCCAACAGAAAGTTGGAAGTCGTTTAGGGTGTTTTATGTGAATCACTAACTATTGATACTTAATAATTAAGGATAATGGATAATTAAAAGAATGATATATAAGTATCAGTTTTAAGGCAAATAAGGTATAGAGCATTGAAGTACAAAAATGTAAGTAATTTTGTTTTCTGTCGCTGCCGTTCTCGTTACTAAACACACTAATAATAATCGAGAGTGAGCGCCTGTTTGCATTTCAGTTGCTTAATTATAAAAAACATCACCCGGGTAAAGCGGCATTTTCAAAGACCACTGATGCCAATTATTGTAGATTGTGTGCGTCTGCGCGCCAGTCTGTGTCAGACGACGAAGCTTAGAATTTTCGAGATAAACATTTACTGGTTTAGTTTAGTGTCGCTATAATTGGCGAAAGTTGTAGGGTACGTACCGGCCATCTGTTCATATAATTATATATTAGCTTTACCAATTACTAGGGCAGGGTCACCACAACGCATATGCCAATTATTGTGGGCCCTTTTTATATCTACACTAACCCACCCTGTCAACTTTCCTTGTGGGAGGAAAGCGGAGAAAACCCACGATTTTCGGCAGAGCGTTGACTTTTACTCTTAGTTCAGATGGGTACGAGTTACCGGAACGTTCTCGATCACTGAGAATTGAACCTGCGACCTTATAGAGGTGAAAGGCTAGCGCGCTAACCACTTCCTCGTCACTGTTTTTTGTTTTCCCCAAGCAAGTGTCATGTGTTTTGGTTGAGTCTTAGGTTACGAGTTCAAATTCAAAAATCTGAAAAGACTCTACTGTATATGGGGGTCAACAATGTCACGACGTCGACATGTGACTTGGTCTATCGTGATCAATTACTATATATGACGGCGCATCAATTGGCTAACTTATCAATTTTAAATACTTGAGCATGTGACTTTCCACTAAGTTGGACCAATTGGTTTATAAGGACAAATTATTTAGTACATGAATTCTTCATAGAATTCTTCAACTATATACTTATGAATTAGGGAGTGATCTATATAAGGAGGCTCGCGGGGCTAAATAACGGTAACTATGTTTTCGAGGGGGCCAAATTTCCGAAGGGGGGGCCAAATTTTCGGGGGGACCAAATTTCCTGTGACACCGGTTGGCAATAGACTAAATCAACAGACGGGTAATATTTCGTCAAATCCCAGAGCGAAAATTACACGAATTATCATTTTTAAAGGACGAGTGTAAGGCTAGAGCATTATTGTTATTAGAGATTTCCGAAATAAAATGTTATTATAATTTTGTATGGTCACTTCTTGTGTACTCGAAATATCTCGACCTTGAACGGTGAAGGTAGAAAACCAGATATTTATAGGTTAAGTTCGTGATGTTTAGTATTGTTTACTCGACGCAAAATATCGTGGCAATAAATTATTTTCCGATGCCGAAAGCAGAACTATATAATAGGCTACTAGCTTAGACATTTTCCTGTTTAAGCAAAATAAATAAAATCTTATCGATAGAACTAATTATCTTCAAATTGTAGTTAATTGCGCAATAATTATCTCTATATAAATATTTAAAGCATGATTGGCAATAAAAAGTAGTTTAGTTCATTTGAAAGAACTCTTAAAACTATAATATTAAACTCGACTACAGATTGTTTATATATCTTGCATAATTTTCAAAATATTTCGACTGCAATAAGTGAGCTGTTCGCCATCTTGGACTATTGAGGATATGCCTGTACGTCAAGAGAGGGGTCACGCAAATTTTTTATCTTGAGAGTTTGGATCAATATGGTTCCAAAACTTTGTTTCTGGTTGCTGTCGGAAATTTAGAAATGATTATAAAAACATATCAAGCAATTTTGGATTGTTACACGGTCATTTTAGAGTAGTTTTATATGGTTAACCCAACACCTGCATGACGTCGTCATCAAAACCATAGTTAATAAGGTCAAGAATCAGTCCAAGATGGCGAACAGCTCATTAATTTCGGTCCAAGTATTTCGAGAACTAAGCCAGATATGAAAAATCGGTATTAGAGTTTATAATTTTAAGAGTTCTTTTGCATGAGACAAACTATTTTTTATTGCCAATGTTTTTTAAGGCCGGAAAGTGTGGGAAGAAATTTATCCCCGAGCCGACGGCGCGAAGCGCTGTGCGAGGGTACTAATTCCCCCCGGCTATTTACACCCGGGGAAACGAAAGCATTAGCGAAGTCCAAAGTTCATCAATTATCGCGGGCGTGGGTGACCAACGATGGGTGGTCATCCTCATTGATCTAAAAAGTTTGCTGGACTGTCATGAATAGCGGACACTGATTGGTCCAATTTAAAGTTTGCATTACAACGACTGCATGACGACAGCGAAATAGCAAACATTTTTTGATTTGATGATTGATAAATTTCTTGCAAATATATTTCATTTTTGCTCGCATTTTTGCAAGATTTTGTAAATTTCAAAAGTTTTCTGAGAAAGAAAGGGCGAAAGAATAGTCTAAAAGAAGGAAACCGACGTTAACGAAGGTAAGTTTGTTTTAAATATTGATTTTATAATGGATTTAAAACCCGACGGCCTTTGGCACATGAAACAACTAAACAAGACAGTACAGCATATAATTTCAGTGTATCTTTAATATTGATCCCTTTTTATTATATTGAATTTTTTAAACAAAAATGAAAGCAAAGTTATTTGCATGCGAGAATTTGAAATCATTTTATTGCAAACTCAATGTTTACCGATAAAGCCATTTAATTACTAAAGGCAGTTTAGTTTTATAAAGAACACTTTAAAACGTTTTGCGAAGCGTTTGTGGTTGAATTTTACCTTAAATTGAAGCTTATATTACGTGTAATAACATACCTAACATATATATGTTGGGAAATTGATAATTTTGTAATTAAAAGTGATATCTTTAGGCGATTTTTCATTTGTAAGAATATTCTTAAAAAATTATCGTCGGTGTTACCATGACAACTTCTTTAGATACTTCATGTTCGGAAAATACAATGGTTTTGTCAGCAAGGCGAGGGTTTCTGCATGCATGCATGTATTTTCTAGTTTATAATATGAAACGCAAAATTCGGATATAAAAATTGGATTTTTAATTAATTCAATAGAAAATAAGTCTTACAATTGACAGCGTATACATTCATTCAATCATTCGACAACTATAATTGCGAGATGCACACATAACTTATTCTCTATTATTTATTTCCAATAACATTCAATCATAATGATAACAATGATTGAAGGATTAGGAAAGTATGCAGTATGTTTTCCACAATTACTCAGTGAGAATATAGTCTGCCTTTAAGGCTACCAAATATATCTACAACGACATGACATGCAGGATTAAAAAAAGGAAAACTTTCTTATATATAGGCTCTTTGCAGTTATCCAGTCGATGGATAACGTCCTAGTCATCATCACTCTCACTATCACTATCATCATCACTGTCATCACTATCATCATCATCATCGCTGTCGTCATCTATTAGTAAAAGGAGAAAAAGGGTCAGCAGCAACAGAAACACGGTCTTATGCGAATACGGGAATGAAAAGAAAGTAAAACTATGTATAGGATATGTTTTCGAAACAACGAAGCGCAAACAATTTTCATTTTTGCTCCGAAGAATCTGTCACAAAATATACCAATTATAGCAGCAGCAATATCGCATTAGGACGCATACAGGTCCCAATTTATTAGATAATATTAACAGTATCCAAGCAACGTAAGTGAACGCAAAATTGCTAAGAGTGAAAATATTTCCGAATTTTTTTGTGAAATATGGATAAAAACGGCACGTGCCAAACTACCCGTGATCTGCTTTCATCGATAATTCACTTTTGGTTCACAAAAGAAAACATTTCTCTATGCTTATAAAGTTACAGAATCTTTAATTAAAATTTTCAGATTTTTCGGAGAAATTGCTGTAATACACCATTGCTGGGCTCGTAATCCTACAAACGAACATTTTAATTTGTGTTTCTATGGAGAGAAACAATATTACATGACAACTATGAACTATTATTTGTTATTTATTTATTTTTGTCAGAACAAAAATGTAAGTGAAAATTTAGTTTCTTCATGCGGTAAGTTCATTTTAACTGGTCCTTTCTGATCGTGGAAATTATCACCCGGCTAACTCACTGTATCTACACCTTACCTTTATCAGTGGGTGTTGGTGTTGTCGTTGGTATTGGCGGTATAACTGTTGCTGTCGTCACAACTTAAATTCAAAACAATAGTTTTTAAGAAATTATAAATCGCTGATTTTTACGGGTGCATGTTGGCAGTAAGAATAGGATATATTATAGTACATATTACTGAAATAATTTGTACCATAGCATAGGTTGCTACTCCTATCACAGCACGAATTAACGCATTACCTGGTGTTTGAGTCGTACTGCTTCCATCATCTATAATTAAAGAATTGACAATTACTAGCTGACGATATTCGGCAAATTAGAACTTCTAGAATATGGAACACACCTTACACACTAATAGATGCAACAGACCTTCGTACGGACAGTCTAATCATGTTTACTTAATTATTATTTTATCTACTTATAATCTTGAAAATCCGCGAACATTTAGATCTTTATGCTTGAAGTGCAACTGTTCGTAGTTTAGCATCTCCAATATCTTTCTCGGTTATTGAAAATTTAAGCACAGCTACAGAAGCTACATAGCAACTGCTCGTGCTATGCTTATATAGTCGTTAGCATACATCGATTTGTTCAATTTCTTTTCAGCTAGTGCATGTTATTATCATATCATGATCAGTTACCGTATAGCTAGCTAAATACTTAGTTGTAGAAATGCATGAAGTTAGTTGTTACTTTTTTTTGCTATTTGATGTTAACGTATTGTTCTTCGGTTCGCAGTAATTGGCTAATCGCTGTGGCGAATACCCTGCAATATAGTCTATTTACTTAATTCGTTAAATTATTACTTTGTAATAACTGTTAAGACTATCTGGCGAAGTTAATAAATTAAAAATTAAAATTAAATTTTGAAAATACCAGTGCCGCTATGCGAAAAAGGGGATGGAAAGACTCGGAAATTTACAAAGACAAAGACTTAAAGACTTAGTAATGTTCGACAGATTATTATGGTGGAACGAAAGTACAGATAATGTAAAACAAGATGATGATGCAAGTGGTAAAAGGAAAATAATTAATATAGCTAACAGACATTGCGACGCAAACAAGTTAGGAATTATACATATATTCGGAGCGATTGTTATCAGGAAATATAGAATGAGAAGATATCTTTCAAGTTTACAATTTAGAATAGAAGTTGGCTATAGGGAATGGGATCTAGCCGGACCCTTTTCGGGATCCCCATAATTGTAACAGTATACCTCAGGACTTCTATATTGTATACGCGATCAGAAAGATTTGCTGAAGAGTTAATTTATTTTATAACCATTTAATCTTCACTAAAGGTACTCATACCTGTTGGTGTTGGTGGCATAGGTGGTGTTGTCGCATCTGTGCTTGGTACTGGTGGTGCTAGAAATGATATTAAGCAAATAGTTAGTACACTGCCACAATAAAATAGCTCGTTAACTTTACGCCTTCCATCATTTCATACTGCTGCATTTATACTATTGCAACGAGTAACAACGTACATCATGCTATTAGTCATGCGAGAAGGCTCTTTATCATTCTGGTGGAAAGAAAATAAGTTTATAGCAAAAATTTAGCCAGTGAAAAGTTACAAATTCACTTATAATTAAGGTGGATCACTACAGTTGGAAAGTTTTTACTAACCCTACAATAAAATATTTCTGAACAAAAACGTGTCTACCATGCATATTCAGTTGAAAGATTTGAGAAAAAAAGTTTTCAATTTGGTCAAAAACTGGCTAGGAAACGGGATTTTGAAAAAAATCTGCCCTGGAAAATGGGAATCCAGACACCTATTGAGGACCCTCTTAATCATAACATCTTAACGAGGGGGTATTTCAATTGTCTGTAGGCGAGCAGCGAAAAGCTCGTGAAAAGTTACAGAACACTCAAGATGGGCTCTCACAGTAAGGTTTTTTATCCTTACAATATACGATATTTCCCAGTTCGTCAAAAACTCGTCGACCATATATATTTCATTTAAGTTTTCACTGTTAATTTAGTCAAACACCACAATATACGATATTTCCCAGTTCGTCAAAAACTCGTCGACCATATTATATATTTCACCATGTAAGTTTTCAGTTGTTTAGTCAAACACCCTATAGTCAAGCCCCCTAGTCTAGACTCGAATTGTAACAGTCCTTCACGACTGACTGAGAGTTAATTTTTTTATTAATCTCCAAGTAGTTACCTGCTGTTGTAGGCGCTGCTGTTACTGGTGTTGATGTTAGTAGATCTAGAAATATATTAATTAAGCAAACATTCATATCAGTAAACTGCGCACGGTAGAATAGCACAATAAAATAGCTCGTTACACTATTCACAATATTAGTAAACACCGTAAATCATGAGAAATAAGTCATGCGAAGGTGGTCCATATCCGAATTGTTTGTGGACGAACAAAAATGTAGCCAGTGAAAAGTGAATTATAAAATGTTATGATCACTTAATACTGATTATTATTTATTTGAAATAATTCACAATTTCTGATTTTCCAATCGTGAAGACGTCTTATCAACTCAACAGGACACAAGATATGGAGTTTTAACAAAATTTTAAACGAAATGACGTCATAATATTGATACGAAAAAAATTATGACGTCACGCTCTGGAATTTATGAATTCGAAATATAGAAGCGCTACCGAAACATTATGGCACTGGCTCCGGTCGGAGGAAGCAAATTTTAAAATACTGTATACTGAAGAAAAACTAAAAGCTTCCAAAAAATAGAACATATACTAGAATAAATAATATAAACAGAGTTCTTCAGGAAGACGTCATATAGGTCTCTAACTTTTATTTACATATTGTTGCATTGATTCTATTCATGCCATTCGCTTTCCTTTGTGACTGTTTTTTTGTTAATTTCCGACTTATATATATTTATATTCTTTCCACGTATTATTAGTTACAACATAAGGAGCGCGAATGTTGTAACTTGTAAATCCTTGTGAACTGTGAAGCGTCTTGATGAGAACAGATTCGTTTCTGAATTCTTTTTTTCAGCAGGTGTTATGCACTCAGGTGAGGAATATGTTTGTGATGTTGTCACTTGTCTCTGAATGTGTCCGCACCGGACAAGCCGAAAAGTTCCTTGACCGCAGTGTTAATCGAACCATAGTTGATAACTATGATCGAACTAAAGGTCACGAGTTTGATTCCCACCGCGATTTAATAAGCAAACGTTTTCGCTTATCCCAGTGTGGGCACACTCAGAGACAACATCACAAACGCAGTAAACATTCGTATTCTTCAACAATTTGAAATAAATGAATGATATTTGGTTGGGAAATTGAATCTAAAGTCTCGAGTTCGTGCTCGTATCAGATATTTTGTATCAGATATAAAACAAACACGTTCATGTATAATTATATGAACTAATTAACAAACCTTCTAAGAGCGTAATAGTAGCAGTCTTGAAACGGCATCGCCCCTCCGCATCCTCTGCAGTACAACTAACTGTCCGCGATAAAAGAGGGAAGTAGGTTTGAAGATCAAAAGAACATTCGAAAACTGGAAAGATTAGTGGAGGATCACATGTCGCAACTTCGAATGGGCCGACACGGATAGTGATCTTCACTGGTAGCAGAGGGGTGCTGACGTTGATTGCATTGCATGAGATAGAAAGATTACCCAACGAAGGTATAGTTGTCAATGATACAGTTATGTTTACATCTGGTTCAGGTTGGCCTGGAAGTGAAGAACAATTTTCAGTATACTTATATATAAATTGTAAACATGTTTTGCCATTATCTTTACATGCCTAGCCTGCTCAGCAGCACCCACCCAAAAATATGAAGCGGAAATCAAAATTACTCGTGCATAATAATAATAATAATAATAATAATAATAATAATTTATTCAAACAAAGTCCCAATATTGGGACATAGAATACATGGGTAAATAACTAAATAAGTCGTTACGGTCTACAACAATAACATAGATATTAATATATATGAAAAAAGTTGATAAATGTATATACATGCATAAACACGCACACGTGAGTAATTAGACCAGGCTATCAAAAGCAGCCAAAACGTCGAAACAATATTTGCCTACTAACTTCATTATTGACTTATCCTTCATAGCCATAATATATATAAATAGGTTTTCCGAAGTAAATAAGTTGAAAAACCTATTTATTTTATATAAATTATCAATGAATTTTGTCCTGAGGTCGATGAACTTCATGTTTGTACAAGACATTAAAAAGTGATGTTCATCTCCTACTTCATTTAACTCACAAAGTCTGCATAGTCTATCATTGTATGGTACATTGTTGTATCTACCAGTTTCAACAGTTAGCTTATGTGCTGATATTCTTAACTTTGTAACAGCTTGACGATATTTGAAATTACTAATTTCGTTTAAGTATTTTTCACATTCAAAGTGTTTTTTTATTTTTCTAAAAGTTCTTAGCTTGCCAGTATTTTTGACAGGTTGAAACTGCTCTGCCCAATACAATATAAACGCTTCTTTAAATCTATGTTTCACGTGATGGCAAACATTTCCTTTTTCTGTATCAGATAATTTCGTTTGCAAGTTGGATAATTCAGTTTGTGAATCGCAATTTTCTCCCCCACATAGTTGCAGTGCATATTTGAGAAAAATTGTTGACTTTAGGTTAAGTTCCATGTATACATTCGCTGCTTTTCCAACAAGCGTGTTTGAGAACAATGAACTTTTTATTCCAAACCAATATTTTACAACCAGCTATATTTTGCATATGCTTTCACGTTGCAAGTGGCGTTATAATACGTATTTGTTGACTCCGGTCGTTTTTGACGGTGGCAAATTGAAAATCGGTTAATTAGAAGCAAACATGGCATGAAAGCAAGACTGTGGTATACGTGCAGACTGTAGCTGTCAATCTTTAGTTTGAGCTCTTTGAAGATCTGAATACCACAACTGAAAATTATAACCACAACTGACTTATGACGTCAAGGAAATAAATATTATTATAGAGGTCAAGGTTTGTTTCCTGTGCTTTGGTGTTCTCTTCACTTTGTATATGAACTTACCCGGTTGTGGATCTCCTTCTACACAATTGCTCTGTGCCCTTGAAATTGTAAGAACGTGAGCGCTGAGAAGAATTATTCCAAGGAATATATTTTCCATCTTTATATATCACGGTTAGTCTAAACAAATTCATACAATTAAATTCACAATGAGAATGGATAATATATAGAAGCGACAATATATACAAAAAGTATTTATATAACAACGTTAAGAATTCAAGCGATTTCATCGGTGAAAGCCATGTTCTGTTAGAGGACAGACGCATGTACGCGTGATATTTGTAAATTTCGACTTTTTCAAATTTCCAAATGTTTGCGTAGATAAAAAGTAATTAAGCTATTTACCTTTTCAATGTGGGAACAACAAAATAAAGGGTGTTGGGAAAAACAAAATATGGGAATATAATATTTAATGTGGGAATAACAAAAAAGTGACCCACTCGTCTCGGCGGCTAGTGAGCCACTTGTTTGTTTGTTTGTTTTCCCACATTATGACGTCATACCAGTGGCGTCGCCAGGGAGGGAACTGGGGGGGACGAGTCCCCCCCAGTTGTTCTAAAGACCAATTTTGAGATTTTTCTAAATCTGAAGAGAAAAGGGGGGGGGGGTACGATTATTTTAATTTCTAACATTTCTAATGTTTTTTCAATAATGGGTGTGATGAATTAATTTGAGATACGAATTTTGAATTCAATTAACATTGTTTTTGATAACGTAAAGAATAACATTATAACATGAAGTACAAATACTTCGTCAGCTCAAACCGGAAGTCAAACCTTTGCTTTTGCTCATTGGATTCATATTTTCTTTGGCGCCATTTATGGAAATCATAGATCCTCATAAATGGAAGCGCGCGACCCCTTTACGGAGATCGTCAATGAAGCGAATCGAGCATTAATAGTAAATAATTTGGGTCCTATTAGACCACTTATCGAATTTCCCGTATCAACATCTGGAAAAAGAACCTTCAAGTTCCGATCTCGTTGGTATGACCTCCATTCATGGCTAGAATATTCTGTACTGAAAGATGCAGCATTCTGTTTTAACTGTAGGTGCTTCGGGACACTTGGTAAGTTCACTAATATACAAACTCGTGATATTTACAACTTTCAAGCATTTAGGAATTTAATATGAAGTCTGCTATCACTGTTTTTTTAAGAAAATTGCGTTTGAATGTATGATCCTAGGTAGCCCCTAATTAGTAGCAATGTTACGATTGCGATGCATATACAGTATGTAATATCGCAACAGCGACTGAGTAAGTTGGACTACTAGGGTAGGATGTGTCAATATGTTATCTACCGTATTATTCCGTACGTATTTATATAACTGGCGAAGGTAAATAAATAAATAAATAAAGTTTCAATTTATTAAATTTAATAAATTGGGATTAATAACGAGCAACATCCTTTTGCGCCTACTAGACAAAAGGCTTAATAAAACCAAGAAGCGGTTTTGACAGTAAATTAACACTATTTCTACCTTCCGGCAATATCCTAATAGGATTTTTTAAAACATATATGCAGCGGTTTTGACACTATCTGTACCTCCCGGCAATCCGCTATTTTGGGCATATCATACCTCAAGTTACTATATGCAATAGTCACATTTCAAACTCAGTTCATTCTAGTCTGACTGTCAGAAAACCGCTCTTTTCGCCACTCATATTTCGCCACACAAAACGATTTGCGTAATTTATCGATGGAGTATAATTTAGACCTAAAACTTAACTTTAGTTGGAAGCTCAGAAGAAACATTCACAAAGACAGGCTTTCGTACATGGAAAAAAGCTTCTGGCGAAAGTGGAAAACTGGCTAATCATGCTAAAACGCAAATGCATATTCTATCAATGGAGCGCATGCAGAACTTTAAAAGTGAGAACCAACATATTGATGTGCAACTTGTTGGCATAGCTGAAGCTTCGAAGACAAGAAAAGAACAAGAACGAGAAGAAAATCGACAGATTGTCCAGACGATTTTTGATGTAGTCCGACATTTGGCGAAGCAAAATACCGCGTTCCGTGGACACAACGAGACAAATGATTCAGCCAATCGTGGAAACTTCCTGGAAGAACTTTTGTTTCTATCTAAGTATGACAAGCCATTGAAACGTTGGATGGAAACTCACCCAAAGAATTTGTCATATTTTTCTCCCAGTATTCAGAATGAAATGATTGGCATCCTCAGCAATATGATCATTGAAATAATAAGATCTGAAGTGATTTCTGCCAAATATTTCTCAATTGAATGTGACGAAGTAACATCCCACAAACGGGCATTTATGTCTGTTATTGTTCGGTATGTCTACGATTATTGTATTTGGGAAAGGTGTATCAAGCTACATCGTGTGACTAATTTAACAGGACAAAGCCTTGCAGCTGTTATCATTGCTATTCTTGCGAACATGAACTTTCCTATCCGCAATTTAGTTGGTAAAGGCTTTGATGGGGCAAGTAACATGTCAGGCAAGGACGAAGGTGTTCAACAACATCTCACCGCAGCTGGTGCTGATAAATCGATATATTTCCATTGTTTTGCACACAAACTAAACCTTGTCTTAGAGAAGAGTGTTAACAACGTACCTTCTGTGAATGACGTATTTGATATTATTGGTTCCGTCTATCACTATCTCGAAGGGTCTCCGAAGAGGCATGCATTGTATGAGGAGAAGCTACAACTTCATGGCATATCGAAGGGAAAGATAGCATTACACACGCTTTCAGACACAAGATGGACTGCTCGATCCGACAATTTGGAGGTTGTTTTCAACACCTTGCCTGCTATCATATCGATGCTTAAAGCAATGTCTAAAGAGGGCGAATCAGCTGCAGATGGATTGCTCGTACGTATGCGAAAGCTCAAGTTCATTGCTTCGTGTATCGTATTGAAGAAGTGTTTTGCTCTAAGTAGATCGGTCTCAGAATATCTTCAGCACGAAAACATGGACTTGGTTTCAGCGGTGTCAGGTGTGCAATCTCTGAAAGATTCTTTGTCCTCCTTTCGAAACGAGGAAAAGATGGATCAGTTTCTGCAGGAGGCACGGAAATATTGCACGGACCAAGGATTGGTTGTGGACGACTTCGATCAGGTGGATCAGCAACATCCAGACAGACCAAAGCGTCCGCGCACAATTCCTTCCTACTTCAACGATGGTACATTCTATTTAGACCAAGATGCCAGAGCAATCCAAGAAGAAGTACCTGGTAATGACCGCCCAAGAGATCTCTTTAAGCGAGATTTTTTCTTCCCATTTTTGGACTGGATGCACAACGAGCTGGAGAGGAGGTTCTCTTCTAAAGCATGTGAAATATTGTCGCTGGCCAACGTTTTCATCCCACATATTTTAAAGAAGAAAATTCGCACCAAGCCCAAAAGCTGGCCAAATTCTACGGAATCGATCCCGATGTTGTCGTAAATCAGTTCATTCTGTTTTCTAAGTCTCATGTGGTTAAAGTCTGGAAAGAGAAGTACGAAGATTTTCTTAAGATGAAAGAGAAAGCTAACAACGATCCCTTGACGAAAGCACCCGAGACTTGGCTTTGTCTGCCAACTCTTTTAAAGGTTTTTGGAGAAAATTCAATCAGCAACCTGTATCCTGATCTGTTTGAGGTGGTAAAAATTGTCGCTACACTTCCTGCAACAGTTGCTTCCTGTGAACGAGCACATAGCAAAGTGAAGATAATAGACAACTACCTTCGAGCGTCGATGTCCGATGAACGTCTAGAAAATTTGGTTCATATCAGCATAGAAAGAGACATTGCAGATAAGATTGAATTGGATACTCTTGTTGACACATTTAGATTAGCTAGCAACAGAAAGTTGCCCTTGTAAAAACTGTTAGTTTGTAACAAAAATCGCCGATGTTTGGCTTTCAGATTATCATAAAACTTGCCTGAAAATGCGGGAAATAGCGTTTTAGAGACTCTACAAACAAAATTTTTTTCGGGGGGGCATGCCCCCGAACCCCCCTAGGTGTCTCGCGCCTTTGGCACTCGACTCGTCCCCCCCCAGTATGAACAACCTGGCGACGCCACTGCATATGTCTTTCAATGAGCACTGTTTAGTACTGTGTTTAAACCACATTTATAAATTTTATGAACAGCTTTCGATTTGACGCAAGCTTTAATTTTCTGCTTTATATATATTCTTAATATTTAAATACAAGTCAGATTTAAATGTTTTGCTTTGTGGAATAAAATACCGTTATTTTTAATGGACAGCTTGTGTCGTCTCTATCATATCCAGGATTGCTTGTGTGTAATTGTAAATAGCCTACAAATTGTATCACACTATGCCACTATCAAATAAATATAGAAATATATTTGTCAATTTGAGAGCCTTGTTTTACTTAATAGTAGCATAATGACTAATGAACTAGAAATAAACAGATGATTGAGACACAATGAAAACTGTTAGTAGCCTTAGTAGAAGTAGAAAACTCGAAAATTTATAGGTATTCGCATGATAGTCTGTGCGCATCTGATTCTGACACTATAAATTTGTGATATAGATTATAGCCTAGTATATTTAAGGGACTAAGAAAAAGGCTAAAGCCTTACTATAATTACCGAATACGAATTATGTACTAAATCCAAAATTTTAAAGATAAATCAGTAAATCACTGACAGACATTTCCCTGTTTGGCCAGCATCAAATATTTACATTTGCTAATATTGGGCTCTACCGCCTGTAGTCCTGGACAATACAATACTGTTTCTTTTAAAAAATCTTATAAACAAGACGCGTAGTAACAAGTAAGTAGGTGCAAAGCATAGGGCGTTGTGAAAACCCGGAATGCCGGAATATCACGGAATATGGCGGAATATCACGGAATATGGCGGAATATCGGCGAAAGCATCGGCGTTGATTGCAAAAATACGACATTATACAAACAAAAATACATTAAATGTACTTTATTATGCATTAGTTTATCCATATCTTACTTATGGGAATTTAATATGGGGTAACACGTACCCAACAAGGCTGCTAAAAATACTGAATTTACAGAAAAAAATTATCAGATTGATGAACTTTAAATCTTATCTTGAACACACTGAACCATTGTTTCAAAAATTGAAAATCTTGAATATCTTTAAGATTAATGACTATTTAAGTTGTTTATTTGTGTACCGTTTTAAACATTTACAAAATCTACCTGAATTTGTTAATGACTACTTCATACAAAACAATGAAGTGCATCATTACAATACTCGGAATTCTAACAAATTGCATGTCAATTATAGTAGAACTAATTATGCAAAACATACTAATGTTAACAAGGGAGTTAAAATATGGAACTCTCTTGATAAAGGAACTAGCAATAC